CCAGGGCACACCAGGCTCTGCAGCCCCCCCCAAGCCCTTTGCTGCAGCCGGGTTTACATGGAAGCAGAAAGATGCCGGACGCAGACGCGCCGCCGAATGTGACCGTGTCTACCTCAACCATTCCCCTCTCGATGGCTGCCACCCTGCAGCAGAACCAGCCGCCGGACCTGAGCAGCATCGTGCACCAGATTAACCAGTTCTGCCAGGCCAGGGCTGGCATTAGCACTACCTCAGTGTGTGAGGGACAGATCGCCAACCCCAGCCCCATAAGTCGCAACCTGCTTATCAATGCAAGTACCAGGGTATCTACTCACAATGTCCCCACGCCCATGCCTTCCTGTGTAGTAAACCCTGTCGATCATGCTGCTGCTGCTATTCCTCCTGAAATGGTAGACAGCACCAGGGGCCCGCCCGCCTACCAGAACGAAATCAAGTCGGTCGCGTGGAACCAGCACCAGCTCGCTCACCTGCAGCAGATGTGCGGGGACGCCGCCGGGCCTGCCGGACTCGCGGGGAAGCACCCTCAGAGAGAGATCGCGGGGCAGAGCTTTCCCGGTAAAACTTCCAACTACCCTCAAGAACTGTGCATGGGCCAGTCCTTCAGCTTGAAGCCCCCCATGGAGAAGCCGACGCCTTCTCCGCCGGTGAACGGGTTGCAGGGACCCTTGCCGTACACCAACGGGCACTATTTCCAGCCCATCTGGAATAACATCCTGCCCACGCCCAACAGTGACAGCTCTGGGTCCCAGGACCTCGCCATGCCTTTCCACGGGGGCCAGCCGGCAGGAGCGCCGCTCGATTGCGCGGGAGGAACTCATTACAGAGCGGGAGCTGGCCCAGCCAGCCAGAATAACGTGATGCAGACCATGGATTACCTAAGCGGGGACTTCCAGCAGTCCTGCTTCCGAGATCAGAGCATGGCCGTGCTGGGAAAAGTCCATCGGCCTCCCATGAACCGAGCACCTGAACCAACCGATAGTCGAAATCTTCATATTCAACACCCAGGGTATAGATAGGCTGCAGTCACTTTCACAGACAAACAAAAAAAAATAGAGGTTTAGTCTTAATTTTAATTAATAAGCAAGGCATTTTTAACTTGCAAACTTGTGTGATCATTATAGTAACCATTGGCAGAAGACATACTGTATATTTAAAAGCTTTGCCGACGTGTTAGCTATCTCCTTTTCGCATCAAATATTTAACATGCCTTTTTGTGTCAAAGAATTTCGTTACACTACTTCAGGCCACAGCTGTTTCCTCACCGCAGAATCCCCTTCGCGCAGTTTTTTGCCTTCTGCTTAGTAGCTACTCACCGGACCGATGTTGAGTTGCTGCAGGGTTTTGCGGTCGCACCTGTCCGCCAGCTCCATCAAGAGCGAGGTAGCGTAGCTGCTTAAATTCCCATCTCAAGTTCCTCTGAAGATTAAGAGCAACAGAACTGGTCAGGGAGCGGGGCTTCTTTTCGACTCGAAAGCCCGTTTCGTTAATGCGTTAGACATTGACCGTTTGCACTGTCGGGAGGCCCGTTCCGTTGAAAAAGGAGCCTCCGGTTGGAAGAGCCAGCCAGGGGTGTGTCTTTAGGTGTTAATATAGGAAGAAGCTTTTGGGCTGTTTCTTGCCAAGACGCCCACATTTATCATTTAGGCTTTGTCCAAAGTCAAAAGTCTCTGCTCTGGCAGATTTTTCTTTTTTAGGCAGGGTATGGAGGAGGGGGGAATGAGGGGTTTAGGACGTAGGCAGCGTCGCTGCCCATAGGTAGCCACGATTTTTTTTTTTCTCTGCATCCCATTTCCCTTCCCTGCTCCCCTTCTGTCAGCGTCAGAGCTAACTCCGTCTGAACCCCTCGCTGCTAGGAGTCTGGCCGTCCTGATGTGAAGGGAATCCAGACCCACTGAAAACTCCCAAAAGGGTTCAGCCGCTTCTCCCCTAGCTGGAATTCATTTCAGGGCCAGGACACCCGACTCAAGCTTGTCCCCGGCCCGGCGCGCTCCCAACGAGACGGGTGGCGGCGTTGGATGTGAAGCGAAGCTCCGCTGTGCGACCCGAGGGCCCCGTGCTCCTCTCCGTGCAAGCGCCGCAGCAGATTTCACGGAACAGTTCTCCGCTCTGGGAATTGGCGAAGCTATTTCTACCGTCCCTTTTTCCCAGGGTCTCGGTGCCTAACTCCTCCAGTTCCTTTCCCGTGTCAGCCAGTCGAGTCAGTGACCGCAGGACACTAACTCTTATCAGGTAACCTCAGCATCTCGTTCTCCTCAGTGTCCCCAAACACGCTTTTCCTTTCTAACAGCCAAATTTGTCATGAGTAGAAAATTCCTCACCTCTGGTAATGAGACTAATACTTGAATATAATGATCACAATCAAGTTTGGAAATTAAAAAATAATAAAAAAAAAAAATAAATGCATTGATTCTTTATATGTACACTGGCTAAAAATATTGCTCTACACTGTAACTTTTAAGTGTAATATTTCTGTATGAATGTCGCCTGGTAGTGTGGGTTTGAGTAGCATTGTGTATGGGTGAACCCACTGGCCTCTGCCATCCACTGGCCTCCCTCACAGCCCTTCGGAAAAACAAAGCCTTAAGTATTTGCTCCTTGAACTTTCCTTAACGAGCATGGTTTAAAAAAAAAAAAATAATCTTAAGACATCATACAAAATTTAAAAAAAAAAAAAAAATTTAAAAAAATAACAAGTTTTGAAGTGACGTCATAGTTGGCTAGAGATTCTTAAAAGTTTTTCGTAAATGGAAAAATTAGGAGACATTTATTTGTATTTTTTTAATTTAGACGTGTAGTCCTGGGCTGTAACAAATATTTAGGTTTCAAAGCTTAGCAGAGTACGTTTTCTGACTCCTTGCGTAAGTTAGTACACTTATGTCATTATTTAAATTCTTTTAAGTGTACTATAAACCGTTCTTTAGTGGTAACTCTTTAGCAAAGTTAAGCAATTTGACTAAAGACGGATTAAATTATGTGTTGGCTTGTGTTGCCTTATATTTAAAAAAGGAAAAAACTTGCCTGATTGTGTTATGCCAAATGATAGCAACATGAAGTCCTAATTTATTGTTTATAATCGTATTCCTGCAGTCTTTGTGAAAACTGGTAAATATACATCTATGAAAGAACTAAAACCCTGAGGCTTTTCCTGCAATATTTTTCTGAATACGTTCCACTGGGAGCCGAGGCTCGAGTCCGAAGCCGCGTCCCCGGCAGCGCCCCCGAAACCCCCCAGGGCCGGGCGATGACTTTGACCTTTCCCGCCGAGTTCGTTTCTGTAAGGTGTTCTGCTACCTGAATACAGACCTTTTTACGAAATAAAATGCTGGCATCTCCTCTGTGCCGTAGCCTGCTGCAAATCTCGACCCGGACTGTTACTGAAAACTCATTTTTATTTTATTTTTTTCCTCCTGAGGGGGACCCCAAGCGCCGTTGTGTGCTGCCGTGGTGCCCGGGCAGCGCTCGGTGGGGATGGTAGAGCCGCGACCACTGGGGCTTTGCTCTGGGTACAGCAGGGCTGGGAAGCAAAACTATTCCCCAGCCTCATCCAGGTGGGACATTTGCTTGAAAAACAGGAGCTGTTTCACTATTAAAATACACTGAATTTTTTCCTTTTGTTCTAGAAGTGAGATTTTTTCTTTCAACCCTGACCCTTTTCACTTTGGCAGCAGCCTGGGGTGAGTTCTCCTGCCTTCCCCTTCCCCACCACATCCTCTCTAAAGCGAAACCAGAACCCGCCCCGTTCCCACATACAACTTTAGAGACCGAACACTGCGCAGGACGCGACGCTGTGGAGGTGCCGGAGGGGAGCGTGGCCGGCGTGTGCGGCAGGAGCTGCCACCTCGGTCCGTGCACAGTTTTATTTCACAGTGGAGGAATAGGAGTGACCTGAAGGCCAGAGATCCCTTCACCCTGGGCTCTCCTCAGGAATTCCCAACGGGCGCCTGCCTCTGGGGTTCGTGCTGCTGCTTCCCCGCCCGTCTGTCTGTCTGTCTGTGGGTGCCTGAGCCCCAGCTCCAGCACGAGGCTTCCGTTCCCTCGAGGGATCTGGGTACTTGGAGGTGACGGTTCTGCTCCTTGAGGGGAAATAAAAGGTGTTTTCAGATGTTTTCCCAAACTTTATCGGCACTGAAATGCGTTCCCTTCACAGCACCACGCTCGATTTAGCAGAATTTCGTTATTTTAACGGTTCCTGGCAACTCCCTCGCCAGCTGGAGGTGGACGTTAGAGAGATCCTGGGAGGGATAAACATGAAAGTGGTGTAAACCCTTCGGCGAGGAAGCTTCCATCCCTCACGTGTCTTGTCTTTCGAGCAGAAGCTTTGAAGCTGTTAAATCTCAAGCCCGGTTTGTTACAGCCCAAAGTTAACATTTTATATAAAGACACTTGTGAATTTTCTTTAAGCTTATGATGTGAACGATGTCTCCGTGGGACTCGGCCGCTCCCGTAGAAACCAAACAGAAATGTTTGTCGGGGCTCACGGGGGAGAGAACTGGGAATTGCTGCTGTATTTCATTAAACTGCTGCTGATGTGCTACGGGTATGAACTAGAATTTTTTTATTACTTTTTTTTTTTTGTCTGCAGGAAAAATAAAAAGAGAAAGGAAAAAAAAAAGAGAGAGAGAAAGAGAGACCTGGTCCCTCTGCCCATTTTGCTGGTTTTTACGCAGTGTGAGTGCGTGGGGGTGCAATGGCCAGTGGCACAGGGTGGGTACTTGTCCCAAAGGGAATTTGGGGAAGGGTCTCCCTGGGTTTCTGGGGTACGAATGCGTCAGGCACAGCCTGGCTGCCCGGCTCCAACAAGGAGAAAGTCTGGGAAAACAGAAGAGATACAGAATCTCAGAGCTGGAAAGGTGCTGAAATAATTCTTTTAAAAAAGGAGTTTAAGTCCCATCGAGGTGAATTCGGAGAGATTTTCAATAATGCCTGCGAGGGTTAGAGCTCTCCCTGACCGTGAGGGAAACATCCTGGGCAGACACGGGGCGGCACCAAAAGCTGGACCTGGGAGCCAGAGCCCTGCAAAGCGCTGACCTCATGGTTTTGTTTATTGACATAGCCCTGTAAGCAGAATTTTGAAGGGAATTCCTAACAGTAGTAGACCCCTTCTGGACAGCAGGAGCGGTGAGGGTTTGCCCTGCTCTCCCGTGAGGATGGATCCCATTCAGCCGGCGTGCTTTCATCCCCCAGAACTCAAAACCCGTCTCCTCAGCGCTTGCTGCGAACATCTGAGTGTCAGAACCCCTTGAATGGCAACCGAATGCCTTTCATGCCATTCCCAGCGTTCCCCAGATACTAAGAAACCTATTTGGTTCCCACATGCTTTTCCAGGAATTCGGGCTGAACTGGGCAGCTTATCCCAGCGGAGCTGAGCTGGGAAGAGCTGTTTGCCCGCAGGCGCTGCCACGTCCCGAATCCAGCAACGCCGTGCCCAGAGCAGCCGCTCCCTCTGCCCCGGCGAGCCCCAACTTCAGGATCCTCCTCTCCTTTGAGTCGACATCACTGGAGCAACTCCTGTTTTTTCATCGATCCTCTCGCCAACAGGAGGAATCTCTTCTGCAAAGCTTCTTCAGGAGACTTTGTTGTCATCTCCGCGGCTGGTTCCATGTGTTTACCGGAGCAAAGTTTGGGCGATAACGAGCCAGCAGGGACTTGGCGTGAGCAGCTGCTGCCAGCACTGAGGAGTTACCCACAGCCACAGCGAACCGAGCTGAGGGTTTCTGGCAGAGTAACATCCAGCCTTTTAAAAACTGCTCCTCTAGAGCCAAACGGGGTTTTCTTCCACAGGTTTCCTTGTGTTTGGTTTTCAGACGAGCTCACCAGACCCTGGTAGCTGGTGGGAGGATGCGACCGTTGGGTTTGACCCAAGGTAGGCAACGCGCCAAAGAGAGGAGATGCTATGCAAGTGGTGAAACCGCACCAAGATTTTAAATAGTAGTTTAAAAAAAACAACAACAAACCCATATTTCTCTTTTCCCACCCTTAAATCCCTTGGTCCTGGGGAGGCAAAGGGCTGGGGCGG